AATAGTACTATATTTTATTTACAACTGTTTACTTAGCATTTCATGGTGAAGTTAGGCTAGATGTAGGTTTTTTTAATTCAAAATATTGTCATTCCACAGCAATCCTAGTGCTTTTTACTCCAGCTGCTTATAGTAGTAGTCAATGAAAGGTGAGTTGCTGCAGTCTCTTATTGGCAATTCCAGATTTAAAATCCTGTGGAAAATAGGTTTTGTCAAAATAAAAAATAAAAAACACTAAATGTGAGAACACATGAGGTAATTTATGAACTTTATCCCAATGAGAATGAATAATCTCACAGTATTTTTGCAGCACAGTGTGTGTGTTTGTGGGGCTGCGCCCCAGACCGCTGGACACATTGCGTAACAGGAGCATGAGGTACATGCACTGTTGCCTCCAGGGTCTGAAGCTTCTGAAACTGCGACCCTGGCTGAGCGCTTGTATTTGCCTGACTTTGCCTCTTGAGTTTAGGCGAATCACTTAAACCGTGATAATAAGACTGAACTAGATTTACAACCAGGGTTAGATTCCACATCCTTTTATTGATCACATAAACATACTTGGTTTTTGATCAATAAATAGGTGATAGGTTACGTCAGCGTTTAGAATTTACTTTGTGTTGCTTACTTATTCAATGAGGAATAAGCTACGACACTGTATTTTTGTGTATACGTGTTACCAAGTTTTAAATATTGTATGTTTAGTACTTGTGGTTGCCCTGTATATTTCTCAGAGCACAGCGTTTTTAAAGTCTGGTAACTAATCTATATATCCCATTGTAAAGTAGAAACTGCTAGAGGACAGTGAAGATGTACTTCTGATTTAATGGTTCTTGGCTATATTTGGAAGGAGTTCATTATTTGTAGATGCTTTCAGGCAGGTAATAACACAGTAAGCACATCTATTGACGAGTATCTGGACTTTTTATTCAGCAGATTGAATTAGGAAGTATTGAAATGTTTTGGTAAGCATTTCTTTATAAAATAACATTAAGTCTACCAAGAACATTTCACACTGTTTTTTCCTTTGGTCCTTGTATTGCCTGATGAATGTCTGGCAAAGAGATACTACTGTTTTACGGAGGACGATACTAAAGCTCTAAGAAGTTTTGACTTTGCCAGGGTTACACAGCTAGTGAGAGGCAGAGGGAAAGTAGACCTTAAAAGCTAGCCTTTTGATTTTTAAGTTCATTATTCTACTGATTATACAATATTGTCCTTTAAATGTAGAATTTTATATTATACACCATAAAGAGTATAAAATTATCTAAATTTTCTTATCTTGATTATAGACATTTTACGTCACCTTCATTTTATTTTCTCTTAAAATGGAAGGTGACCATAGTGGTTTCGCTTATTTGTTTCTGAAACCTTGTTTTTAAGCTACTGTTAATACATATACTATTGTTATTTATATTATTTGAGTTTTATGATATCCAAGAAGTAACTTAGAATTTTCTGTTTTTTTAAAAAAGAAGATACCTAGACATGGTGATTGATCTTGTTTCATCTTCAAAATACTTTTTATTTTGTAAATTAACAGTGAAGGCATTTAATATTTCTTTAATGGTTTAATACTTAAATATCCATTTTTAATATTAACATTGGTAGTAATACCCAACAGATGTTTTCTTTTAAAATATAATAGTAATATTATAACTGTTTTGTGCAGTTGTACAATCTTAAACTAATATTTAGTTTTGAAAACTTTACATGTTATATACTTTATGACATACATTCAAGCCTGATGAAAAGTCTAGAACAATTAGAGGGCCTGTAATCCAATTATAGTTTAAATCATTCCACATTGAAACGCTCTTTTCTGACTGAAAAATATTTGTACATATTTTTTCAGTTGTAAATAATTCATTAAAATACATTTTATTTCAGATTACTTTAAACAATGTGCCTGTGTTCTAGCCAATTTGAAAATCTGATTTGAAGATTTGGTTTAAAATTTTAAAAGGGTGGCCTGCGGCAATAAACTTCTTATACTAGCTTCTGTATTTTATACACTGGGAGTTTGGTAATAAGGAAGTAATAAGTTTTGTTTCTTACTGTTCGATATACTTAAGAAATACAAACCATAGCGTCTTAAAATTTTGTCTCTCAAGCTGCTTGGCTTGACCATGGTAACTCTGGTCCTAAGTCAGGGCTGTTGTTTTGTTTGTTTGTTTTACTTCTCACCTGAGGATGTTTTACTGATTTTAGAGAAGGGGGGGCATTGATTGGTTGCCTGACCAAGGATCAAACCTGCAACCCCTTCTGGTGTACAGGGCGATGCTCCAACCACCGGAGCCACCCAGCCGGCGCTAGGGAAGGATGGTTTGAATACAGGTATACTTAGGTTGGCTTCCTCTGAACATTTTCTTTGCACTACATACAATGTGTTTAATAGAATTCTGTTCTCATTAATGAAATCTGACAATTTTGTTTATACAATGAAAAATTCTTGTCATATGAGCAAGAAGTGTGAATTCATGTATTAAAGTTCTTCCAGAAGATTCAGGTAGCAAACTATATGGAAGAGTTGTAGTGTTCTTAAAATGAGGCGTGACAGGATTTCAGTTAACAGTCGGAAGTCACTGTACGAATATAAAGCTGCTCGCATATTTCATACTCTTCTGTGTGGGACTTGGGTAATGAAGTATATATTTGACTGTTTTTTGCCAGTTGGAAAGGCTCCAAAAACAAGGAGACATTTGTACATGTGCAGATGTTGGCAGGGTTCTCTCTTTCCTGTTGTCAAAGACCATTTTATTTCCACAAAGATATGTTTGTATCTGTTTTACAATATGGCATGAGAATAATGTACCAACATTGTATGGAGGCGTGTTTGGTTTTACTTTTCTGCATGTTAAAACTATATAATCTCACACATTTATTTTTAGCGATTTTAGTTTTTATGCCCGTGACTTTATACATGAATACTTATGGGAAACGGTTAATTATTTTGTAAATATTTTGTGTAACTAAATTTTCAGGGTCGTGTAGGCAATTAAGTTGGGAGGAAAAGTTGAGAATAACATGTGGTTAGCAAACAGTTTTTGCACTTCACGCTGGATAGGAGGCAATCTGTCACTTTTCCCAGTGCCCAGAGGAACAAATTCTCAGGTATGAGATTAAAAATGTGCTTTCTCCTGATTGCTAAAGAATCAGTAGGTATTTCCTCTGAAATAAAATTGAATCAATTCACTTACTATATTTAAAGATTCATACTATCGTATCTAAATTTTTAATTTACATAATTAGTGCTTTATTGCAGAATTGAAGATATTAAAATAAAAAATTAAAAGTTGTATTTACAAACCAGTAGTTATGCACTGATGGAGAGGAAAGGAAGCACAAATGAAAATAGGTAATTATTTGGATGCAGTTGAGTTTTTAAAATCTTTCTGTTTTTAAAGTTGATAAGAATTTTAATATGTCTATTGAGTTTTTTCAGTTTTATGAAAAGCTGAGATGAGAATTAATGTTACTTATTTTCTTGAAGTTCAAGAAGAAGAGCCTCATCTCTAGTTCTCATGTATGTGTACTGTTTAGTTTTCATCAGAAGTAGGTGTGTTTCTGTTCTGCAGTGTTTTGCTTTGTTTCCCCTGCAGTATTGGTATAAACATTATGTTCTCAGAAATTTTTTCCCCAATTTAAGGAAGGTGCAGGGAAGGAATGGCTCTTAAAACACACCTTCTCTGGTCATACGATCTTCCAAGAAGTTCTTTAAAATATGACTTCCCCTCCTTTTGTAGGTGGGCATTTTTGTACTGGAGAGAACCTCAGATAAAGCCTGTTGTTTTTACTTAACTTGAAAATAACTTGTTCATGGTCATGGAAGGTTTTTGTTATGGGATGTTAATCCTTCCAGTAGTTATAAAATCTGTTAGAAAACCTTGCTAAGAAGTTGGGCTAGAGGTAAACAGAAAATATGCCGTTGTACAGGGGAAATGAGTAACTTGGGGCCAAAGGGACTTGGAGTGGAGGTTGCATTGATATGATGTCAGATTGCTCTTTACCAGTCCTCAGGGGTAGGTTAAAAACAGGCACTTACCAGAATCCTCTGAATTCCACCCCTAGGACACGCACCACTTCTTAGTCACTAACACATTATATTCATCATTATTTTTGTTTGGCATCTGTCTTTCATTCTAATGTCTTTGTTTTAGAGTCTGTTTAGCTCACTCTTGTTGCCAGTGTAGCACAGTGCCTGGTGCTTGGTAAATACATGCTGCCTAATAGGCCTGCAGCGCAGTCCATTCAGAAGAAAGGATTGGTTGATTGTCCTTACACAAATCAGAAAGATACAGGAAAGCCAATGTGGCTAAGTGGTTGAGTGTCTTCCCATGCACGGTCGGGGGGGTGGGGAGGGGGTGTCACCAGTTC